CCTCCCTCCCTCCCTCCGTCCCTCCCTCCCAGTTCTTCATCGAGCCAGCGCCCCGCTGCCTGAGCGCCGCCTCTTCCCTGCTCACTCCGAGCCGCGTTATCTTTAATTCACATCATTGCGATCAGCATCAAGAGGTTTTGTCCGGAAAGCGTGAGGTTTTGGCTGCGCCTAAGCTCCGGGGACCCCGCGGGTGGAGAGAATGGTTCCAGCCAGCCAGGGTCCCCTCACACTTGAGGCAGCCCCCCTATTGTGCGCCCGTGATTGACAGGACCACGAGGCTGAGCGCGCTCGGGGGATTTTTTTTTTTTTTTCTCTTTCTATAAATGGCTTAAACCCTCGGTCTAGACGACTTACGGGGACTTTCGGGAGACAATTGCCATTTTGTTCGTTGCTGGTGAAGCTTGGCTCCTGGGCTGACCCGGAATTTAAGGAGCTCCTCCCTAAGCTGCTGGAAGATATAAAGCCAGACCTGGGACTGGGTGGGAACCTGGGACGGTCACTCTGGCTGGCGCCGGCCCGGGCGTTGGACAGTGCGGGCTTGGCTTTTCTGTCTTGTGTGATGGTGAGTCCCTTGACCAGGTCCCCGCAGTCACCACCTGGCTTTGCTTAACGGAGTTTCAATTATTTTTATTTTTAAGGACTGCAGTAATGGATGCTCGGCGCCCTGTGCCGGAGAAAGAGGCTGCGAAGCGGCTGAGACATTTAGGGTAAGGCGGCGGCGGGAGGTTGAGTTATGGAGTTAACTCATTTCAGGCTGAGACTGGGGCTGGGGAGTTTTAACTGGGTGAGTTTACTTGGATTTCTTGAATTTTAAATTACAGCCAGGGAGGGAAAAAGTTATTTGAGATTATTGCTAGCCAGTAAAACAAAATTTTATCTACCAGTAAGCTGCTTGTTTTATTTTATTAATCATGCATTTTATTGGAAAAGAGTAGATTAACGAATAGGAACCTGAGGGGGTCCTCCTCCTCCTCCTCCTCCTCCTCCTCTTCCTCCTCCACCTCCTCCTCCTGTCTCAGCTTAACCCTTCACTCTGCACAATGCCTTTTCTCCTGAGGAATCATTGAGCACATTTACATTCCAGTGTTGCGTTTTCTTTCCATCTGAATGGTATGTTTTATGTATGACTCAGACTCATGCTTCCCAGGGGAGTTATTGAAGGGAGAATGGTAAAGATTTCATCAAAGTCCCCACAGCCCATCTCCACCCTTATCTGCCAGCCCCCGGGGGTTGCAGATCTTCATGGGTGCTTGGCTCTGCCACTTTCCTGGCTCTGGTACCCACTGTCAATTGTCATCCATAGTACAGAATGTCCCTGTGACCTCACATCCTGGCAGAGTTCAGGGGGGCTGGAACTTGACTCATCAGTTTTGTACCACAGGGAACACTCAGTGTGAAGTCGAGATTGCTTTTGCTCACAAGCAATGTGCTTTAGACCAAGATTTAGTAATATATATATATACTACAGTGGATTTTGTCTGTGTGATTTCTGGTATGTTAAAGACATTCCCCTGAAGTGCCCTAGACTGCTTGACAGCTTCCGACCCAGCCTTCCTGGCATGTATGAGCCACGTGACCAGCCAGTAGAGGCAGGGGTCAGTTCTCTGAGCACCTCTAGGACCCTGTTCTACGCTATGAAAAGTTTGGGGTCTACTGGCTGTCCTAGAACGCCACGTAAACCAGTCTGGCCTTGGACTCTTGCAAACCTTTCTAAGACAAAGATTCAGTAAATCAAGTTCTCAACAGAAATTATTGTATGTTTTTCAACTGAAAGGACTTTATGCTTTTATATAAAGTGCTCAAGGCAAGGTAGAGCTCATAGTGATGATTGTGCATTTAACAACTGAGGTGTATTCAGAACTTGGCTGTGTGTATTGATACCGGCCCTCTGTATAGCAGTAGCAAAGCTTGACCACTGCTAGGTTTTTATTGGAAGCACCATCTTGGTTTTGCAAGGTGCCAGCTGTTGAACCAAGGCCCTTGCACACGCCGAACTAGGAGCGTCTATTACTGAGTCACACCCTTAGCCTGGGTTCCTGCTTTGAAGTTTCCTGTCTGTCTCTCTTTTCTGACCTACCTTTACCTTCCAGGTCTCTCCTAGGCCCTGACCTTTCCCACTGTGAGGGGTCCCGTTAAAGCGATGGTGAGATTTTCTACCTGGTCCCAGAAAGCAGTTATCTTAAAAAAAAAAAAAAAAAAATCTAATTCTTTAAGAGTTAATTTTTTTTTCATTTAAACTTTTTTCATGCATTTGTTTATTATTGCGGGAGTGTGGCATGGTGTGTGTGGGTGTCTGAGGGCATGTGGAGGACCGGTTCCCCCTTTCCCACCACGACTTGGCTCTGTGGAGGGAGCAAGCAGTCGGCCAGGCTTGTGCACCTCACCCTCCCTGCAGGCCCTTTTCCTCGCTTCTTTCTTTTTCTTGACGTAATTTATTTATTTTCATCTTATGCGCATTGGTGTTTCGCCTGCATGCATGTCTGTGTGAAGGCGTCAGCTCTTGGATTTACAGACAGTTGTGAGCTGCCATGTGGGTTCTGGGAATTGACCCTGGGTCCTCCAGAAGAGCAGTCAGTGCTCTTAACTGCTGAGCCATCTCTCCAGCTACCTCATTATTTTTGTAAAGATTTATTTTTAATTGTGTGTGTAAGTCAGAGCACATGTATGTGAGTGCCCTTGGAGACTAGATCCATTGGATTCTCTGGAAGTGCAGGTACAGATGGTTGTGAGCCCCTTGACATGGGTGCTGGGAATCAAACCTGGGTCCTCTGGAAGAAGAGCCTGCCCTCCTGGCTGGTGAGCCATCTCTCTAGCTCCCCTCATCTCATTCTTGTATGGGGCTGCTCTATTGCCTCTGAGTTTTGCTATGGACTCCAGGGTCCTCGTGGAGAGAGATGAGCTCTCTGCATCCTGGATTCCCCTGACTGAGGCCAAAGCTGTAGGCTTTCCTTCTTTAGACCTTGTGTTCTCAGAGAGGATCCGTAAAAAGCAGGGGCTCTTTCCCAGTGACGCAGAAAGCAGTGAAGGAGCTCACTGCAGAGCCGCTGCAGACAAGGATCTGGGCAAGTTTAGTTGTTTCCAGTGTGGAAAGTGCTCAGGTGCCTTCTCATCTTGGGCATCACGCCAAAAAGTGTTCTCCCCTTTTAAATGAAAATGTTTTTATATTTGTTTGTTCACTAATTTTGTGTGTGTGTGTGCTCTCTACTTATTTAAAGACTATCATCTAGATCACATTTCAAAATGGACCCAGAACCTCCAATGGGCCAAGGGTGGGATAATTTGCTCAAAAAAAAAAAAAAAAAAAAGTTTCAAATGTGGTTTTTAGCTGGGCAGATAAATTGAGAACCAAGCGCTCTTTCCCAGCTGAGCTCACAGGCCTGAGGGCCCAGGCCTGGAAAATCACTGGTGTGGAAATGGAGAAGCCTGGTGATGCAGGAAAAAGTCGGCATTGCTCAATTCTCTCAGCTACATCTTCTCGCCCTAGCTGCCATTCTTCTTCAACTGCTAAGTCACCAGGAAATACAGAGTCTTGCCTCTGCAGGATCCCTGGTGACGGTCCCTCCCACAGGCTGGTGCTTGCAGTGGTGTGATGAGTGAGGCCTCCTGTGCCTGCGGAGCTCGTGACAATCGTGACAATCGACATTCCTGGGGAGGAGAGAGCAAAAGCTATGGTCTCAGCTAAACAGAGCCAGAGGTCTCAGAGTTGGAATGTGATTGGTGTGTAGGGACAGAGCCATCCATCTTGGGCCATCCCTGGCCTGTCTTTCCCAACTGCAGCAGCCATGGGACCTCTGTGACCTTTTCCCTTTTCTTCCTCTCATTCCTCCCTGTATTCCTGCCACAAGGGTCTTTGCTATGTCCTACTCGTTCATCTTCCTGAAATGCATTACTCCTAGGTATGCAGACATCCTGCTCTCCACATTCAAGACTGCTCAGAGACGCTAGGCTGGCCTCTGCAAAGCCACACCCAACCTGCCCTGCCAGTTCTCCTCAGTTACTTTAAATCTTAAGCGCATTAGTCACCTTTTGATCTAGTTTTCTGGTTATTTTTTCCCTTTGCCAGCAGAACAGGGACTTGTTTCTAATGACTAGTGCCATTATAGCTACAGAGTAGCTCACAAATACTAGGTGAGGTGTGGATAGTGTGCCTCTGGCTGGCTTACAGTGACACTGTGCAACAAGCAAGGGCTGGGCCTACAGCAGTGTCGATACATTCTATATACTCCCTGAGCCACCATGCCTCCCCAGTTAAAGCTTATATATAAAATTCAAGGGGCTGGAGAGATGGCTCAGTGGTTAAGAGCATTGTCTGCTCTTCCAGAGGTCCTGAGTTCAATTCCCAGCAACCGCACAGTGCCTCACAACCATCTATAACATGATCTGGTGCCCTCTTCTGACACCCATTTGTACATGCAGATCGAGCACTCATACATAAAATATATAAATTAAAAAATGAATAAAATTCAAAACGCTAAGAATATTAGGAGAATAATGACAGCCAGGAAGAAGAAAACGTGGCTACCCTCAGTTTCTATGATGCAAAGCCAGAGTTTTACTTTCAAAATATCCTAATTTAGGTAGTAATTGAAAAGTGTTGGTAAGGTTTATCTTTTTAAGCTTGAGGGCAGTTTTATTAATGTTCAAGAGGGAAGAGCAGGGCAGGCAAGCTGTAAATCTTGGTAGCTGCCTGGAAGAGAGAGATGGATAAAGGGAGGAGAGGAAGCCTTCCTCGCTCTATAAAGCTGTTTATTGTCGTCTGTTTATTTCAGGAAGAGGCATGGTAGAGCCTGGAAGTGCAGTAAAGATAAAAGGATCATGTGCAGTCATCTCCAGGTTAAGATGGAGCTGGTTTATAGTGATTGGGAGAGGGAAAGTTCCCCTTATCTTTTGAAGAGTTGTGCGCATCCTTGATTACGTCATGTAAAAAAAGTCAAGGCATGGATGGCTCAGGGGGTAAAAACGATTGCAGTGTGAGCCTGGCACCTCATGTTTGATTCCAAGTACGCATGATGGAAGGAGAGAACCGAATCCTGAAGGTTGTCCTCTGACCCCGACCCGGATGTTGTGGCTTGCCCACACCGTGCATATCACATGTGTGTACATACAATAATAAATAAACATGTAAAAAGCCAATGCCTATTGGCTTTGCAGTGTTTAAGGTATGCCTGGAATTCAGTGTCCCCTTTCAGCGGGAACTGTGTGTCTGTCTGTAACTTTGCTGACAATCTTATTGTCAGACACTGCGGGTGGGGCTGGTGGTGTATGGAAGTCTGCAGAGCGCTTGCTGACTGAGCGCCAGAGAGACCTGAGCAATGGCACACGCCTGTAGCTCTCAGGAGGTGGAGGTTCGACAAAATGCAGAACTACCCTCAGCTGTGGAGAGTTGTCAGCCTGAGAGACAAGAAACTGACAGGATCCTCCCCTGCCCCAGGCATACACGCACACATGCACCAAGGAACACCAAAAGCTATCTCCATCGCTGGTTGTTTTGTTTGCTTGTTTGTCTTCCTGTTCTGTAGCTGCTCTCAGTGATCAGAACTGAGGCGACCTTGGGCATCTGTGATGGCCCAACTGGCTTTGTGGAGAAAGGCTGAGTTTCCTGCTGCCCTTGTTTCTGCTTCGCTGAATAGCAGGGCTTTTGTTTGCAGTCTCCTCTCCCCAGAACAGAGGGTTTGTATGTGAAGCTCCATTCTCTGCTCGGCATCCTCAGAGGAGATCACTTCTTTGCTGTGTATATCTCTGCTGGGCATCTGCATCTGGAGGAGTCCTGTGCCTGGAAGACCTGGGGAGACGGAGCAGCCAGGGCTCAGCCTTGAAGACCCTTCACTGCAGTGAGGCCTGGAGGCCGCCCCTTTCCGAACCGTCTGTCGAGTCTGGTGGGACTGGGGAGCAGACCCTCCTCTCCTTCCCGAATCATTTCCCACTTCTCCCATGTTGGCCCATCCCCGAAGCTGGCTTCTCACACCATTAGAACCAAAGTCGCTGCTGAGGTTTGTGAGTTAGCCTTGCTACCTCGGCTGTCCTGGTACTTGCTCTGTAGCCCAGGCTGGCCTCACATTTGTGGCTCTCCTCTTTCAGCCTCCAGGGTACAGGGATTTAGATTCATTTTATTGGTGCATGTGGAGGGCAGGAAGCCAGCGTCCCATCCCCGGGAACTGTGGATTTATGAATGGTTATGAACTACTCTGTGGGTGCTGGCAATCAAACCTAGGTCCTCTGCAAGGGCAACAAGTGCTTGTTTCCACTGAGCCAGCTCTCCAGCTCCTCCATGTTGTTTTTGTTTATTTGTTTTTTTTAATTACAGTTATTTACTGTGGGGGGGGGCGTGCCACTGTGCTTGCATAAAGGTCAGAGGACGACGTGTGGGCATCAGTTCTCAGTTCTCTCCATCCACCGTGTGGGTCTCAGGGATCAAGCTCAGGTTTTCCAGCGTGGTGGCAGGTGCCGTCACCAGCGGATCCATCTTGCCAGCCCTGATGCGGAGATGTTTGACCGCCTGGCTGAACTCCTAGCACAGGCTTGACCTATTTGGTTCTCACCGTGTTGCAGTGTTGTATCTGGGTTGTCGTTTGAGACTTGTTTTTTTTGGCAAGGTTGTGAACCTCCTGCCTACCTTTCAGTGATAGTGGGGTCAACCCCAGGGCCTCACCCCAGCTGAAGCAAGTCCTCAGACACCCTAGTGTTAAACTCTGGGCTAGTTTGTGTCAGCCTTGGCGGATGCCATTCACGTTTGGCCCTTTGGACATCGAGCCAGAGCAGTGTGGGCTCCAGTCACTTCCCCTTCACAGCGCTCCTTTTTCCTCTCCAGGCCAAAGACCTCATCATCACACCAGCCACCGTCTTAAAGGAAAAGCCTGCCCCCAGCTCGCTGGTGTTTGGAACCTTGTTTACCGACCACATGCTGACGGTGGAGTGGTCCTCCGTGTCGGGATGGGAGAAGCCTCACATTAGGCCTTTTGAAAACCTGTCCATACATCCTGCTGCTTCGGTTCTGCACTACTCTGTGGAGGTGAGTTCTTGGGAGCCGCCCTGGGCTGTAATTCACTCCCCGGTTGGTTTGCAGGCTTCTCTGGGGTGGGACAGGCCCTACTGTCTTCACTGGAGGTTGTTGTAAACGTCTTCAAACTTCTGCTGCCAAATGGATTGAGGATAAGTCTAAGGACTAGTTTTGCAGGCTTTATTGGTTTATCTATATTGCTAGTAAAAAAAATGTGTGTGTGTGTGTGTGTGTGTGTGTGTGTGTGTGTGTGTGGTGTGGTGTATGCATATTAACTTAGAACCTACAAAAAGGATGGTTAGGGAAATTAGAAGTTCAAGTGTGGCCATGAGTGTAATCTCAGCATTTGGCAGGGCTGGGTAGAAGGTTCAAGGCTAGCCTAGACTGTGTAGTTCTTTCTGGGTCAGCCCAGGCCACAGAATGATACCTCAGGGAACCCCAAAGTGTGAGTATTGGAATTTTAAGTCCCCCCCTTTTTTTCTCAGATCCTTGCATGATTGAGAAGGGCCATAGGATGGGATATCCAGGCTCACTGCTTTCTCGTGCCAGCCTGTGGTCTTGCTTATGGGATGGAACTGAATGTGCTCCTTCATGCTTGAGTGTTTGGAGAATCCATTTCTTGGTTCTCTGCTGATATAGTTTACCCGGTCCATAGAACATTGCCCCAGAATATTTCATTTTATTCTGTTTTCACACAAAGGATGGCTTCTTCCAGAATTTTGAAGGTGCTAAAAATAAACAGTGATCTACTAAGGGACTGAAAAAAATGACCGTAGGCAAAACATGAATAGCAATGGTAAAATAATCATTCCTGAAAATTGAATTCCAACATGATGGGTTTTTTACAGAGCTTGTCCTTTATATCTAGACCATTCTTATTTAGTTATTTGTGTTCAGAGTTCAGATTTTCCATCATAACTTAGAAATCACCCATTCACTGATCTGAAGTGAGAATCATGGGCTGGGAGATGACTTAGTGGTTAAGAGCACTGGTTGCTCTTACAGAGGTCCCAAGTTCCGTTCTCAGCGCCCACATCAGGCAGCACACAACTCCAGCTGCAAGGGGACCAGATGCACTCTTCATGGCTCTGGGCAAGCACACACTCATGAACAGATAGGCATGCACACACACACATTAAAAAGCTTTAAAACAGAAAAGAGCAAATGTTTCAAATAAAAAAGAATTCAGGGTGTAGAAGCACCAGGGGAACAGAGCTCAAGTTCTGTCTCAGTTGCTCCCTGGAAGCTTATGGAACTTGTCATAATGATTTATGATCTAACACCTTTGTGTCATTTATGATTTAATACATTTGTTTATGATAGGTAGGGATGGTGTCTTTAACTATTTTGTTTGTGTTTATTTGTTGTTGGGTGATGTATGCCCTGTATCTGTGTGAACATTAGGGGATAACTTGTGGGAACTGAGCTGCCCTTAAGTGGGTCTCTGTGTTTGAACTCAGCTCATCACACTTCAAAACAAAGACCTTTCCCTGAGGAGCCATCTTGCCCACCCCATGGAGGCTCTGTGTTCTTGAAAGTGTGAGTCAGGCAGTTCGCTGAGGCTATGGAGCACTGGTTCTCAACCTTCCTAACTCTGTGACCCTTCGCAGTCCTTCATGGTGTGGTGACCCCCAGCTGTAAAGTCATTTCGTTGCTGCTTCATAACTGTAATTTTGCTGCTGTTATGAATCAACGTAAGCACGTGATTCGCAGGATATCTGGTAGGAGACTCCTGTGAAAGGGTCGTTAGGCCCCTCCTCCCCAAAGGTTTGCAGCCAGCAGCTAAGAGGCTGAGAACCGCTGCTGCCAAGCAGTGGTGCGGTGCTGAGGGAGAGCGCAGACAACTTCTGCAGGGAGCTGTCCGTGCCGCCCAAAGGCTGGGCCAGGCTCTGTCTTTCCAGCGAGTGACTAAGTATGCAGCAAGCACAGAGTAAAAGAATGATAGCAGGTAGCAGCTACAGAGACTCGGTTGACAAAGAGTGAAGTGTCCTCAGGTTGGGGCTGTCCCCCATTGAGAGGACAAGCTGAAGTCATGTTGCTAAATTGTCACTAAATGGGTCACAGCACCCAGTAGGAAGGCCTGGGGGGTATCTGTTGGTCAGACCACCCTGAATGCTCCAGACCTGTGTGATCTGGGGTGCTCAGTAGGGTTGGGCCTGGCTGGTAGTTGTGTGGAGAGGTGGTCAGGGGAGCAGACAGGCTGAAGTTCCCGGCTGGAAGCAGCCTGATCTCTCCTTGAACCAGCCTCTGGCTTCAGATTCCCACTGCAGGCATGTTCCTGTGGGATAAACAGTGGTAAGGCTGTTAGAAATGTTTTACTTCCCAGCTCTTCTCAAGGACACAGTGTCTTTGCTGGTTTTTTTTTCCCCCTCTCTGTCAGGGTGGGGTTGTCTGCCTGCTCCAGGTTTGGAGGACGCTTGGAGTAAGCACTCGAGTCTGAAGTGGGAGGGGCCAGCCTTGACTCTAGGGTCAACCACACTTTACCAATACAGTGTGCATTGTGTGACCCTTGACCCAGGAGTGGCCTTTGTTCTAGAAGACTATCAAATGGCTTCTTAGTACCTTTTGTTTTGCTTTCTAAGGACAGGATCTCATATAGCCCAGGCTAGTTTCCAGTTCATGGTATAGCTTAAACTGGCCTTGAACTCACGGTTCTCCAGCCTTACCTCCCAGGTACGAGGATTACAGGGATGCACTGCTATGGCCATCAGGATTTAGGGTTCTTAGTTTCATTCCCAGCTGCTTGGCCTGGGCTATTATGATATGAATGTCAAGCTCTTTGCATCAAATGGCAGATGAATAGACCATTCCCTTTCAGGGAAGGCTGTTGGTGGCCTTTAGGACCCTGATTCTTGGTTTCTGATTATCATTAATTTTTGAGGCTGTGCAGTCTAACTGCATAGCACCACCTTCTAGGAGCTGCTGGCCTTTAAGAAGTGAATTAGGAAGAATTAAGGTTATTTCAGAGATTTAAAAATTTTGGGTTTTGGAGTAGATCAACTGAAATTTCAGTTTGGCTGAAATTTCAGGCTGGCTCCATGGCAATCCTCCTGGCTCAGCCCTCCAAATGCTGGGATCACAGCTAATTAAAAAAAAAAAAAAGTCAGGTGTGGGATGGAGTTTAGTGTTGAACACTTGCCTTGAATAAAGACCCACGTCCCACCTCTAGCCTGAAAACACAAGCAAAACAAAAAATAGCCTCAAATTGCAGCTATTCTGCCACAGAGTAAAGCCACAAGCTTCTCCGTATTATTAGTGAGCTTGTGAAACACAGCAGTCCTTCATGTGGCTTGATGGCTAGACTGTGTTATCAGAAATATCTCCTCTAAGAACCAGATTGGACCTGACACTGCTTGTGTGGCCAAGAACCTGAGACAGCCCAGAGGCCTAGGGTAAATGCCAAATAAAATGACTCCTAATGATACTCTGCTATACTCACAGAGCAGTGCCTTGCTCACCTTCCATCTGAGAAGCTTCCCCTGTAGCAGATGGGAACAGAGGCAGGGACCCACAGGCAGACAATGTGTAAAAACTGAGAGTGCTTGGAACACTCAGGGCCTAAATGGAATGTCTCCATCAAATCACCCCTCAGAGCTCAGGGAACCCCCTGACCTCTACCCTCTCTACCCACCCAGAGCCAGTGGAGGACACTAGAAAAACAAGGTCCTCTAAATCAACGTGAGCAAAGTCGGTGTGAACTCACAGAGACTGAGGCAGCAGCACAGGGCCTGCAGGGGTCTGCACCAGGCTTCCAGTTTAGTCCTGGGGTGCAAATGAGTGGGTGTCTGATCCTGTGCCTTCTCTTCTTTTCCTTCTGTTTACTTTGTTACTTTGTTACTGATACTTTGTCCAATTCTGATGTTAGTTTTTGTTTCATCTTGTTATATTTTATTATATTACTATTGCTTAGAAGACTTTCTTTTCTAATGAGAGACAGGAAGGAAGGTGAGGGGGTGCTGGGAGGAGTAAAGGGAGGAAAAACTGTAATCAAGATATAGTATGTAAGAAAAAAACTATTTTCAATAAAAGGGGAAATAAAGAGCTGGATTGTGGGAGGGACACAAATAGGTCCTTATAGAATGCTCCATTATCACACATGAAGCTCTGGGTTTGAGAGCTGCACTCTTGTCTGTAAATACCCATGCTGCTGTGCAGGGTCCCCACTGAGACAGGCAGTGGCTCAGGCCCACTTGGGCAGGATGTATTATGAGATATTTTAAAAATGCCATGCAGTCAACAGACCTGGAATGAAGAGAGAAAGAGAGAGAGAGACAGACTGAGAACTACAGTCAGTAGGAGAGGGAGAAGAGAAAGAGGAGCATGGCACCTCCCCCACCCCAAGAAAAAGTCAGAGGGGAAGGAAGAGTAGAGACACTGAGGCAGAGAGAGTGCAGGAGAGACGATGTGGCAGGTTGGCCCTTTCATGTCTGGTGCACAGCCAAGCCATATCTGCCACACACCTGGCACCTGGCATCGGCATGTGATGGCATCGTAGGTTGCTAAGCCACCTAGGAGTGGGCTAGTGCATTGGCTTGTGGACTAACATTTCTTCCATTTCCTATAATTAAAAAAAAGAAGAGGTAGTGAGGAGGAGCGGTGAGGCAGGGATGGGGACGTTGGACTGCTCGTGCAAGGCAAGTCAACGTGTATACACGTGGGTTTGTTGGGGGCAGCTCTTGGTTGCCATGCAAGGGCGTGAGAGAGGGGGAAACAGCAAGAGCACCAAAATGTCCAGATTACATGGTGAGGAGGAGGGGAAGCCCTGCCCTGGAAAGTTCAGGGCTGAGGGTGGGGTTTGCCAGCCATGCATTGCAGTAGATAAGAACCAAGGAATGCTGGGAGAACCTGGAGCTGTTTGTCCCAGGCCTGAAGCACACCTTTCCAGCCTTTTGTTGATAATAAATGGATAATGGGGGAATAAATTAATCATCTTTGTCTACTTCCTGCTGACACTGGGTTGGTGATAGGGAGACCAAAAGGCTGAAATGTTGGCCAAGCCCAGGAAGAGCAGG